ACAAAAAAAAAAAAAAGACTATATCCTGCCCCGTGTATCTCACATTTGGCGGAGCAGTGGGTTGCAGGCTACCGCCCTGCATCCAGGAACCAGCCCTGCTCTTCTTCCTAGGATGGAGCCTTACCTCCTCATCAGTTTACTCCTACTTCAGCTTCTGGTTTGTTTTAAAGCCATATCCTTTTTGTTTTTCCTTTTTTTCTTTTTAACCTCAGGCAAGATGTGGCTTTCTGGGTCAACCACTTTACCTCATCCACTATTTCTCAGCTCATAACCCTTCAGTTTATAACCACACACTGGAGGACATCAAAGGACAAGTTCTGTCTTGCTCACTTTGCGCATGCATGCTCAGCTTCACCTTTGCCTATCCTCCCAGACGGTGGTGGGGCCTTTCTCTGTTATCCAGAGCCCCGAGGTGTCAGCCTTCAGTTAGTCCACACTGTCATCCTGCTGAGCAAGAATGCTTCATACCCAGGACTTCACGGCTTAGAACTGCGAGCCACGAAGAGTGCAGAAAACACATTCAGAGATTTTCACATATTTAGTGTATGTGGACATACCTGGACATGTTCATGCTATGAACACATGAGCCTATGAAGTCAGAGGATAACCTGAGGGAGGTTTATCCACTAAGCCATCTCAAAGGCCCTTTTAAAACTTATATAAGCGGGGTGGTTGTGGTGGTGGTGGTGGTGGTGGTGGTGGTGGTGAATGCCTTTAATCCCAGCCTTCGGGAGGCAGAGGCAGGTGGATCTCTGTGAGTTTGAGGCCAGCCTGGGCTACAGAGTGAGTTCCAGGACAGGCACCAAAACTACACAGAGAAACCCTGTCTCGAAAAACCAAAAAAAAAAAAAAAAAAAAAAAACTTATATAAACTAATTTGATAGAAACGGGCACAAAGGTTGTTTTTAAGACAGAGTTTCTCTGTGTAACAGTCCTGGCTGGCCTGGAACTCACTCTGTAGACCAGGCTTGCCTCGAACTCAGAGATCTGCCTGCTTCTGCCTCCCGAGTGCTGGGATTAAAGGCATGCACTACTACCACCTGGCAATTGCTCTATTTCAAATGCATTTTGAGATCTGACTGTCTCTGCCCCCAAGTGCTGGGATTAGAGGTGTGCACTAGCACTGCCCAGCTTGCACAGGGATTCCCCGCTGGTGACTTGGAAACAATGCCACAGAAACTGCCTTTGCTGGGCAATTCCCATCATGGCTGCCAGCCTTCTCTGCTCTCTTCTAGGCTCACCGTGTCAAAAACTCCCACCCTCTTGAGCACAGGCTGGATGGCCCAGTGGTGGAAATGATGGACTGCCACTCCCTGTGACTTCATCTTGCTGGTGTAGTCTTTTTGGTTCTTGTTATGATGGTGAGGGTGACCTGAGTGGCCACTAACCATCGGTGAGTGTCCTGGTAAGGCCCTCAGTACAGTCACCCATCAAGTGACTCCTGCCGACCACATTTGAGTCTTAGAGAACCGTGGCCTTATTTAACGCCTTTTCCTTTTGTGGTCCTGGCGATCAAACCCATGACAGACGAGAGTGCCACCACTGAGTTACAATCAGCCCAATAGCTCACACCTAAATTATAGCCTTGTGGGAAAGCCCAAAGCAAGAATTCAGCTCAGCTCTACCCAGTTTTTTAATCATACAATCAAAGACAATATGCTAAGGATTTGTTTTGTGACAGGGAAGGACTTGCTACATAGACCTGGGTAGCCTGGTACAACGCAGCCCAGGCTGGCCCCAAACTTGCAGCAGTTCAACCTCAGCACCACAAATGCCAGGATTACAGGTGTGCACTACGTCCCTAGCTAACAGGCTGCCTTAAGCCCCTAAGTTGAGGCTGATTTGTTTCGGAGCAGTAACAACACTTTATATATCCCTAAACTGTCCTACTCACCTGTTAGACTAAGTTCATCTAAGTAGAAAACATTTTCTTACTACTTACGATGTTTAGTAGCCTTTTTTATGTATGGATTTCACCAGGTTTTCTTGGGTTATTTTTCTGCAGCTATGTGTGCATCTGTGTGTGGGCATGTTCAAGGGAACGCAGGTGCCAATCATCAAGTCCTTATGGAGCTGAAATCACAGTTATAAGGGGCTAGGAATCCAACTGGACTTGGGTCCTATGCAAGAGTAGTATGCGCTCTTAACGACTGAACCATTCTCCAGCCTCTGGAAATTTCTGATCTCTAACAGTATTCAATAAAACACTACACAAGGAGTTCCAGGTCAGTCTCTGCTATATAGCAAGATCCTGTAGGTTTGTATGATGGCCCATGCCTGTAATCCCATTAAGAAGAGGACCAGGAATTCAAGGTCACCTTTACCTACACAGTAAGTTCCAGGCCAGCCAGGGCTACAGGAAACCCTGGCTCCAAAACCCCAAACTGAACAAGAACGAGCAGGGGGTGGGGTGGGGTGGGGAGCAATCTCTCTCAGGTGAGAGCAAGACTAGCAAGAAAAAGCTCACGGACGCCCTCTACTTTGTAAGCTCATTCCTACTTTATTTTTAAAATATAAAGGTTTGTAGGGTCGAGAGATGAGTCCTGAATAAGAGCATAGGCAGCTCTTGCAGAGGACCCAGATTTGATTCCCAGCACTCACATGGTAGCTCATGACTTACTTCACCCAGTTCCAGGAGATTTGATGCCCTCTTCTGGCCTCTGCAGGCACCGCCCACGCACACATGCGGTACCCAGACACACATGCAGGCAAACACTTATTTATATTAAATTAAAATGCTAAAAACACAAATATAACAAGCAAAGGAAAAAACCAGACTAGGCATGCTCTAATCTGTGTGGACCATCTGCTACTCTGCCTTCAGACTTCTGCTTGTTTTTAATCTATTACATTTATTTATTTATGCACCCCCCCGACATACACACACATACAATCAAGGGATAATCTGCAGGAGTCAGTTCTCTCATTCCACGTGGGCCCAGGGATCGAACTCATGCTTTTATCAGACCTGGAGGCAAGAGACTCCAACATGTTGACCCTTCTTTACCAGCTCAAGTGGGTACTTACTACACAGGGTGGTGGTATCAGGGACCAAAATCATGGTCTTAAGAGCAGTAGGTAAAGCCGGGCGGTAGTGGTGCACGCCTTTAATCCCAGCACTCTCGGGAGGCAGAGACAGGCGGATCTCTGTGAGTTCGAGGCCAGCCTGGTCTACAGAGTGAGTTCCAGGACAGGCTCCAAAGCTACACAGAGAAACCCTGTCTCGAAAAACAAAAAACAAAACAAAAGAGTAGTAGGTAAACACTCTACCAATGAGCTATACAGCCCCAGCTCCTTTATTTTTTTGAGAGGACCTCAATATGTAGCTCAGGCTAGCCTTGGACTTGAGAACCTCCTGCCTCATCTTCCTAAGCTGACAAAGATGTACCACTGCATCTGACTGGCTTAACCTTTTGATGTCTTTTTTTTTTTAATTTTTTTTAAAAGATTTATTTATTGCCGGGCGGTGGTGGCGCACGCCTTTAATCCCAGCACTCGGGAGGCAGAGCCAGGCGGATCTCTGTGAGTTCGAGGCCAGCCTGGTCTCCAAAGCGAGTTCCAGGAAAGGCACAAAGCTACAGAGAAACCCTGTCTCGAAAAACCAAAAAAAAAAAGATTTATTTGTGTATACAGTGTTCTGCCAGGCCAGAAGAGGGCACCAGACCTCATTACAAATGGTTGTGAGCCACCATGTGGTTGCTGGGAATTGACCTTGAACTCTGGAAGAGGCAGGCTGTGCTCTTAACGTCTGAGCCATCTCTCTAGTGGCACCCCCCCCCCCCCCCGCCTTTTTTTTTGGTTTTTCGAGACAGGGTTTCTCTGTGTAGCTTTGCGTTCTTCCTGGATCTCACTCTGTAGACCCGGATGGCCTCGAACTCACAAAGATCCACCTGCCTCTGGGTGCTGGGATTAAAGGTGTGTGCCACCACCGCCCTCCCAGGCTTCTCTAGCCCCTTTTTAAGTCTTTATGTGAGTCTGGGAGGTCAGAGGACAACCTTAGATGTCAGTCCTCACGTTCCACCTCATTTGAAAGAGCGTTTCTTGTCAGCATGCTCTCTTTCCCCCACAGGAAGTGCCTGGTTAGCTGGCTCCTGAGCTTCAGGGTACTCTGTCTTCACAGGCCATCTTCTGGAAGCCCTGTGATTGCAGCCACACCCTGCCAGAATCTGCAGTGGATTCTGGGAATCTGCATCCAGGCCCTCAAGCTTGCACAGCAAACATGTTATCCACTGAGCCATCTCCCTCCAGCCCCTGGCTTAATCATTTGTCATGCTCATGTGTGTGAACTCTGGACTTTCGTGATTTGGGGCTGCACATCTAAGGCGGCAACACAGAGGGGCACAAACGGGTGTTGGTATGTTCTCATTCAGAGGACGGCGACACAGGGGCACACCCGGTGTTGGTATGTTTTCGTTGAAAGGACGGCGACACAGAGGGGCACACATGGGTGTTGGTATGTTCTCGTTGAGAGGACTCCCTAGCGCCCTGAGCACAGGGGATCCTTAACCTTGGACAAATTTCAAGATTAAAAACTGAGCCCTCAACAGGCATAGTAGCATGCCTTTAATTCCAGCACTTGGGAGGCAGAGGGAAGAAGATCTTTGTGAATCTGAGGTCAGCCTGGTCTACACAGAGTTCCAAAGACAGCCAGGGCTACAAAGAGAGATGCTGTCTTAAAACAAAAACGAACAAAAAAACCAACTGAGCCCTACTTCCCCAGCAATCATCTCCCTTCCCTTCTGCTTTGAAAGCAAGAGCTCTCAGTGCCCCAAAAGCACACTGCATTACTGTGTACTGAGGAATAGGACAGTCCAGCTTCTCAGGCAGCTCAAAGCCAGTCTGGATTTTAGAGCTGTTAATGTTAAATGTAGAAGTAGTGGTCTGGAACCAACCTCCATGAAAGGAGATAACTAAGTTCCAAGGGAAAAACTGGGGCATGGGTAGGGGTCAGAGGGCAGGCTCAAAACACCAGAAAGCGGCACCTTCTATACACTGGAGGGTCAGGGACAGAAAAAGGTTTATTTCAGAAGAGAACCAACCAGCTTATCTAGGGCAAAGCTGAGAAACAAGAGTGTCAACTAAAGCAGGTTTGGTGGTGCACGCCTGTAATCCCAGCACTCAGCTGGAGGCAGGAGGATCCTAAACTCAAGTCATCCTTAGCCACACAGTATGTTCAAGGCTAGCCTGGAATACATGAGACTGTCTCAAAGCAACAACTACCCACAAACAAACAAAAAAACAAAACACCAAGGCTTTCTAGTCCAGTGACCACTAGCTTTAGGAGCAGTTAAGAGTATTTTGTCTATAGCCAGGCATGGTAGCACATGTCTTTAATCCCAGCATTCTGGAGGCTGAGTCAGGTGGATCTCTTAGTCTAGGTCACCCTACTCAACATAGGGAGTTCCAGGACAGACAGGGCTACGTGAGAGAGACCCTGTCAAAAAAAGAGCAATTTGTCCTCAATTCCCAGCTAGCGAATAGCACGGGCCCAGTCGAGTAGACCCACTAGGCCCTCAAAGAGAGCACTTCACATGTGAGTGAGGGTCCAAATGCCCACCTCCAACTGGGTCCCCACTTCTAGGAAGCAAGCAGCACTCTAGGATGATCTCCTGCCATACTTCTTGGGAAACTCTAATGTGGACAAAAGGGCCAAAGACCAACAAAGCTAATAGTTTTATGTGTTTTCAATGTGAAAATTCAAGTTCACTACCAACATCCCCCTTGTCATTCTGTGAGGTCAAAGAAACAGACTGCATGGCAGGTCCTGAGCATAGGGACAGTGACGGTCAGTCTGCATGTCCACTCTTAAGACACGGTGGTGCTCAGTAGGTGCCCGTTACTTCTGAACATGGGCTGAGGTATGGAGCAACTTGTCCAGGGTCTAGGCCTCCTGGCTGCTAGCCAAGAGTCTGCCAACAGTATCTGGTTCTTTTCACTTTCCAGCACTTGGCTTTAGAGTGGACTGGGGATTAATCTTCTCCCTGTTAACAGACATCAAAGACAGAAGAGGCCCAGTTCCTGGCATTTTTGTACACAGATTTCTCATAGATTTATTTCTGTGTCATGTTATATATAGACCTATTCATATATACCTTTCTTTAAATATACAATCTATATTCCCTTCCCCACCAAAATCACAAGAAGAAATCTAAATCCTTCCAGGATTTCCATTGGGTCTCCTAAGATGATTAGCTAACAAAGAAACATTTCTTAACATCTCAAAAATAGCTGTTCTCAGGCTCTGGGCCCACTGAAGCAGCAGTGTTCCCAGGCCAAGAAGACGAGAAAGGACAAGAAACAACTGTAGTGTGATGGGATTCTGGGATCAAGTGTCCAGCGACTCCCAGAACGGCAGACTGGTTCCAGAACTCTAAGGCTGGGATGAAGGTGGAGGACACCCTTCCCCATGGCTTTTCAGATGCAGCCCAATAGGCACGGGGAGGGAGGAGGAACTGCAGATTAGGCATGCAGGGGTAGGCGTGGTAGAGAACGCCTGTGGGTGGTGACGAGCCAGCACCCTCCAGAGGACTGCCAACCCGCTCAAGGACATGGGTAATGGGCAGAAACGGAGCTGAGTGAAGAAGGATGAACGCAAGCGCGGCAGGAAGAGGCAATGGAACACATAACAAGTACTAACAGTACGTGACCGGTACTGGCCTTCTCCCTACAGAGGGTGTGGCTTATGCCTGGGGGTGGAGGAGATGAAAAGTCATGAGCTAGGATTATCAGCTGGCCAGGGGCACAGGAAGGCTCTCTGAGGACTCCTAAGGGGTAGGCAGGTAGGCAGCTGGGACCCCACATTCCCAGGGAAGAAACAAGTCCTTTCAGTTCGACTTGGACCAAATCTTGGCGCTCCCTCGGAGTCTGGCAAGGGGAAGAGAGAGAGAGGGGATGCAGGGGTCTCCTAATTCCTGGAGGTCACCCCCATTCCCGACCCCATGCAAATGACTAAAGCAGGTGGAGCAGCCAGGCTGACGTCCCTGAGGTAAAAGTGGGGCACCCAGACACAAGCGGCTCCCCGCACGGGCTCACCCCTTGCCCTTTGAGGCTTTCTTGCTGGGCTGGCGCTGGTTGGTGCCAGGAGCTGGGTCTCTCAGCTCTGTCAGGTGTTGCTCAGGATCCTGAGAAGTGGCTGCAGCAGCTGCTGCTGCTGTTGTGACTTTAATGGTTTTTTTAAGGTTGGCAACCTATCAGGATGAAAGGAATGGAGGATAGCAAAGAAGGTTCCAGAACCTGACAGGTCCCGATTATTTTATCAGTTTGCCTCAGCCACATCCCAGCCCCTGTGCACAGGCCAGGAGCCCAGGCTGGGGAGCTGCAGTTGACCCTGTTCCCTGCCTACTCACCTCACTCTCGATCTGCTGCTTCAGGCCCAGCTGCTGCTCCTTGTGCTGGTTGGCACGGCTGACTTGCTCCTCGATGCCAGACAGCACCACCTCACAGCCGACGCACCTGTGGGAGTCAGGGCAGGAGAAAAGTGTCAGCAGAAGAGGGCTGCGATCACAGACTCATTAAAAACAAACAAACAAACAAACAAACAAACAAACAAACAAACAAACTCAGGGGGCCGGAGAGATGGCTCAGTGGTTAAGAGCACACAGTGCTCTTACAGAAGACCAAGGTTCAATTTCCAGCACCCACTTGGTGGCTCACAACTGCATACAACTCCAGTTCCAGGGGATCTGATGCCCTCTTCTGACCTCCACAGGCACCAGGCACACACGTGGCAAACAGATATACATGCAGGCAAAACATTCATACACAGAAAAGTAAAAATATTAAAAACAAAACAAAAAAAACAAAACAAAAAAAAAAACCCCAACAACTCAAAAGCAAGCCTACAAGCTAGACTCAAACCCCTTGTCTAAGCTGGGTGCCCTCACCAGGGCACCTGGGAACCAGCTACAACAGTATTCTCATCAGCAAAAACCCTGGAATAGGATCCGAAAGGGAAAAGGAAGTAGTAGAGTGATACAGACACTGTCGGTGGGGCTGGGGGTTGTTGGAGAAACGGCTCAGTGGTGGAGAACACCTATTGTTCTTGAGAGAACCGGAGTTTGATTCCCAGCACCTACACCAGGAGGCTCCCAACCACCAGCTCCAGGGGGATCTGACACCTCTGGCCGCTGAGCACCTGCATACCCCCGCCCCCAACTACAAATAATAAAAGTAAATGAAAACAGCAACAAAAAGATGAGAGTGGGAACCACACAGTACTCGGGAGGCAGAGCCAGGCGGATCTCTGTGAGTTCGAGGCCAGCCTAGTCTCCAAAGCAAGTTCCAGGAAAGGCACAAAGCTACACAGAGAAACCCTGTTTCGAAAAAACCAAAAAAACAAAAACCAAAACAAAACCCAGGAGTGCCAGGCATGGTGGTGCACAATAGTGCAGCCTGTAATCTCAATACTGGGAAGTAGAGGCAGAAGGATTTTGAGTTCAAGGGCAGCCTGGAATACATAGTGAGATCACACTAAAGTTAGACGGGGATACAAAGAAGGAAAGGGAAGAGAGACCCATGACCCATGGTGTTATGCACCATTGTTCTAAATTCAGCCTATGAGAGTGACAAGTCTCCCATTAAGAACCCTCAAGTGCACCACCCCCATTACCTTCCCCAATTACTTCAACAATCCTGCCTCTTCGCACCCAGTGTCCCCTTGAAGCCTGCTCCCTCGGAAGCCTCTGGAGGAAAGTACTGGTCTTTTTCTCTCCTCCAGGGCTAACCCTCCACAGCTCAGTCCCCGCTTTCTCCTGGTTGTATAAGGGAGAGGTCAAGGCCTGACAGGTTCTCACCACTCCTGCAGGGTTCGGGCAATGGCACTGAGGTCCTGGCGCTGGATGTCCCGCCCAATGCTGTAGTCAACCTCTAGCCGCTGATTGCGCTGGTCCAGAGAGCCACGGAGGACATCGGCATAGACAGCCTCAATCACGAGGTCTTCCAGCTGGCGCACATTCCGCAGGGCAAGGGCCTCCAGCAACACTGCGTACGGGATACACTGGGTCCAGGGGTCAGACCAGGGTTTGTAGGGTTCAAAAGCAGAGAAGGACTTCCCATAATCCCATTCCCTCTTTTCCCTACTACCAAACTCTGCATGCCCTCCACTCTTATCCCTAAACCATCTCCTAGAAAATATTAGTTCTAAAGCAAAACGTATTACCACCTCAAAAACATCATCAGAAAAGGACAACCTTTTTTCTTTCTTTTCTTTTATGGTATTTGACACAGGCTCTCATTCTATATAGTCCAGGCTGGCTTGGAACTCACTACGTAGTTCAGGCTAGACTTGATCTCACACTAATCCTTCTGCATCAGCCTCCCAAGTGCTGGGGTTCCATGAGACATGACACCAGACTCAAAAAAGACACTCTTAAAACACATGACAGATGCTCACCTCCCACAGCACAGCAAAAGAAATGGCATCTTCCTGGTGCCCTTTCTTTGGTAGTAGCTAAGACTATTGTATTACATTAGCTTGACATCAGAAGATTATGGGAAGGGTCTGGAGTTACTCTGTTTAACACTTAAGACTTAGGCAAGTTACAAGCTGGCATCACCTCTGAAGCATCCCCAACCACGAGCTGGATTCCAGCAAAAATCACCAGGACTCAATTCTAGTTAACAACTGGGAGACTGAAGACTAGGGACACATGACATAATGTGACAAAAAGCTGCGCCCACAAGGACACAGACACCTCTGAGGTACACATATGTCTCATTTTAGCAAACAAGTCTGGTGCTTCACAGGAGAAGAACCCCAAAGCTGAGGCTTTGTTGGCCTGGAATTCTGTATGGTGAATGAAACATGATGGGTGTCGCAGTGGCTATTTTGACACCAGACACAAGAGATGGTAACTTAGAACTTCGGGTCAAACTGACAGACTATCGGCCCGAATGACTGCAGTAATGTTCCAGTTCGGACAAGACAGAGGGCTTGTCCAGGTGCAGACAGACTCCCAGGAACAAACAATAGGTAGGTGGCAGGACTGTCACTTACCTTGACTTTGGCAGCCAGAGTGACAACTGAAAGATGTCGAAGCTTATTCTTCTGAGCCTCCGTGAGTGGGGGAAGATTTCTGGCTTCAGCTAGGGAAAGGGACAGAAGCCCGGGAGTCTTATTTTTAGCAGTTTCTTATATGTTTTCTGCACCAATTAGGCTGCCCAGGTTCATTTATGGCACCTAAGTAGGGCATCCCAGGAATTTCTTCCAAGTCTCTCCAGAAACCACCCTTCTCCTGGCTCCACAGCTCCAGCCCCTATTTACCTAAGTAGTCAGCATAGGTCCCATAGGCAAACACTGTGAGCAGCCTGAAGGTGGAGGCAAAGTCGCTTTCTGCCAACTGCATAAGAACATAAGGGAGGTGACAGGAAGGCACTATTGAACCAACTTTCTGACCCCATCCCTCCCAACAGTACCTATCCTGGTCCACCAAGAGGCTTTCTCTACATCTCCCAATGTACAGTTTCTCTAAGGGCTCACTTCTACCTTTAGCCCTTTGTTATACTATGCATTGAATCCCTACTCTAAATCAGGGGTCAAAACATTTAGTGTTCAAGCCGGGCGGTGGTGGCACACGCCTTTTATCCCAGCACTTGGGAGGCAGATGCAGGCGGATCTCTGTGAGTTCCAAGGCCAGCCTGGTCTATAAATCGAGTTCCAGGACAGCCAGGGCTACACAGAGAAACCCTGTCTTGAGGAAAAAAAACAAAACAAACAAACACCAAAAACCCCATACACATTCAGTGTTCAGAGTATCACACACACGCACACATTAGACATTGTGAATATGTAATTTTGGCCCTCAAAGGGCATAGAATTCATGGCCTCTGTTTCAGATAGTCCTCAGTGAGGTGGTTTTATATCATCCACTAGTATTTCATATCACCACTCACTCATCCTGGCATGTCATCCCTGCAGATTTTCACCTAACAAATATCATCCAACAAGGCTGTAGACCTAGCATCCGCTAGCCTACAAGGATGCAGCAGAACTGCGGCCTTTGAAGTAAACTCTTGCCAAATAACTGGCTTATACATTTTATCCATTTATCTGATCTCTTTAACTGAATACAAGCTTAAAGGGCAAACCTGATGTCTTGTACTTGGCAGAATACTAAATACTGTCAGGCAATTGGGAAATGTTTCTTCTACTTGTCTTAAGGATATACTTTAGTTCACTGTAGATAAATCAGGAACAAAAGATAGCCAGTTTTCTATGAATGGCAATCCAAAATACATTATACCCTCTGATTCAACCACAGGCTTTCTAAAACGTAGTTCAGTTTAGACACACACTATTCTCAGGACACAGGCTGGTGCCACAGTATTGGCAATCCATTTGCTCTATACTTCAAGCTCTTGACTCAGCCATTTCTGTGAATGGTTCTTTGTCGTGTTCATAGCAGTTTACCACTGTCTTTGGAAAGAAGGCACTGTCTTCATTATCTACCTTAAATGAATTAGTATATGCAACATTTGGACACTTGGGGAGCTAACATAGCATAATATGCTCATTCTTTCCATTTTTAGGAGACTTTAGACTTTCCCACAATTTTACTTCTGTAATTGTGAGGGGCAGTACTTTTTAGTTTTTTGTTTGTTTGTTTTCTTTTTTTTTTGCAGTTCTGAGAATTCAACCTAGAGAAAGACTTGTATACTATAGACAAGGGCTCTTTCACTGAGCTACATCTCTACTCCTTTTTGAGACGGAGTCTAAGTTGCCCAGGCTGGCCTAAAATTTGTGATCCCCCCTGCCTTAGCATCCCATGTTCTGAAATGGAACCCAAAGACCCATGAATGCTAGGCAAGTATTCTATCAATTGAGTTATGTTCTAGTTTCTCATAACCATTTTTAAGAGAAAACTGAGCCTTTTAATAAGGTTTCTCTGATCAAGGTGACATGATTTTTTATTTTTTTCTCCAAGACAGGATTTCTCTGTGTAGCCCTGGCTGTCCTGAAACTCTGTAGCCCAGGCTGGCCTTGAACTCAGAGCTCCACCTCACCTTGACTCCTGAGTGCTGGGATTAAAGGTGTGCCCCTCCTACCCGGCTGATGACAAGATTAGTAAGAGAGATCACACTGGCGGACAAGCTGGAACTTATAAGTAGTATTCTGAATGGCATGCTCTTTTGCTTAAAAATTAAAAATCGAGCTGGGTGGTGGTGGTGGCACACATCTTTAATCTCAGCACTCGGGAGCAGAGGCAGGTAAATCTCTCTGAGTTTAAGGTCATCCTGGTCTAAAAAGCGAGTTCCAGAACATCCAGAGCTATTACACAAAGAAACAGTCTTGGGGAAAAAAAAAAAAAAAAAAAAACACCAAAAAGGAAAAAAAAAATTTCTGCTTGTTTAGGCAGCACATATACAAAGAAGACCAGCATGGTCCCTGAGCAAAAAATGACATAAATTCGTGAAGAATTCCACATTTTTAAATAAGAAAAAGTTAAAATTCTGCACAAGGCATAGGCAGGAGGACTAGTCCAAGGCCAAGCCAGACGACGACTTCTACTAGTCTTCACAGTGAAACCCTGTCTCAAAAAGTGTGTGTGTAGAGGGAGTGGGCACTAAGTTTACAGACCCCCTTATCTCCAAAGAGAAAATGAAGACCTTTATTTGATTTGACAGTTAATTATCACTGCCCTGTTCACCAGAGTGGTCAGGGGCTAAAAATGAGCCCAGGCACTCTCAGAGGTTCTCTGTGGACTACCCAGGCAAGCAGCCTACCTCTCTAACATTGGGCATATCCAGCAGTTCCCCAAACACGTAGACACCAGGGGCCTCCAGCACCTGATGGATGAGTGTGGCCAGCGCGGCCCCCTTAGCCGACTTGGCGAGGAGCAGGAACTGCTCCTGGTTCTGGCCCGTCACCTTCACCTCGGCACTCATGGCTGCACCGAGGTGCGGGGCTCTGGTCTCGAGCTGTCTGGAGCTGCAAGGGAAGAGGACCGTGAAGCTGAAAGGTCCCCGGACACTGTCAGGTCAAGGGCAGGGGACCGCACTCAAGAGGCACTAACGCCACTTCTGCAGTGAGAGATCAGGTCACCAGTTCCTTAAAGTCCGCCACATCCTGGCTGCCACGCCCACCCTCTCCCCCAGTGCCGGGCCTAACCCCAGGCCCCACCATGTGCACCCCATTGAGCTCTACTACAGAGGAGGTGGCGAGGGCAGCGGTGGCACATGGTGTCCACCCCAACGACGACGCTCCCCTCCCCAGCTCCGAACTCCTGTCCTGCACGTGCCCGCAACCACGTGACCTCACCTCCACGCTCCTCACTCGTGGCTCCACCCCCCTCCCTTAAAGACGCACTCCGGGGACGGCGGGTCCGCGCCCAAGGCCCGGTCGTACCCTGGGACCGAGTGCCGTCGCTACCTGGAAGCCTCGTCTTCCAGCGCACGGGGCGGGGCGGGGCGGCCGCTCCGTCACCTCCGGCAGCTGCTCCCAGCCTTTCCTGCCACCTCCCGCAGGGTCGCTCTAGCCGCCCGCTTCTATGGCCAGCTTCCGGCCGTACTTCCGCTCTCGGGAGGCGGGTTCCGGGCGGCTATGGGCCTGCTTCCGCTTTCCCGCGGCTGGAAACGAGAGAGCTTCCGCTCTGTTGATAAAGGCCTTTCGGTGCAGGAGGGAGCGGTGGGTGCGGGGTGCCGAGGATTCCCCAGCTCGGGGAAGATCCGGGGTCGCCGGGTAGCCCGGGAGCGGCGGGAGGGGAGAGGAGAGCAGAGGGCGGCACAGCGTTGCTACGGCGACTTGCAAGAGCCTCGGTGGCAGGCGAGAAGACGCAGAACGGAAAAAATGGGGAGAGAGGAGGCGAGAGGAAGGAAAAGTGACGGAGTTAGCGGTGGTAGACGTAGTTTGAGTAGTTCAACCACTCATGTTTTTACGAAGAAAAGTTTTAAAACGTATAGGAGCCGGGAGTGGTGGCACATGGCTCCTCTCCTTGCATTTGCAAGATAGAGGCAGGAGGATCAGGAGCTCAAAACCAGCTTCAGCTACACAGCAAGTCCCAGGCCAGTCTGGGCTTTTTGAGAACCTGTCTCAAATGGAAACAAAACAAAACCCCAAATGGTAAAGGGAGCGGGGAATGTATTGGTCAGACTTTTAAGGCTTTCTTCCGTTAAAATTTCAGAGCTGTACCGCATGACCAGACTTTTGGCCATGGTTACCACACGTGATCATTATGTTTTGAGTACTTGAATCTCAGTTGACAGAAGAAAATTGTAAGTGGAACGAAGGCAGTTGAGGAAATTTAAAAAGTAAAGGATTTAGCTGGGCACTTGTAATCCCAGCATTCAGGAGGTTGAGGCAGGGGGATTGCTTTGTATTCGAAGCTAGCCTGAGCCACAGTGTGAGAGACCCTGTTTAAAGAAACTTTAAATCTCCGGTGGCGGTGCACACCTTTAATCCCACCACTTGGATTCCTGAGTTTCAGGCCAGTATCTTCTACATAGGGAATTCCAGGATAGCCAGGACTACTACACAGGAGAGCATGTCTCAAAGCACAACAAAACAAGCAAATAAACACAAATCCTCACAGAAACCCTTTACAGTAAGGTAAAGCCAGATGGACTGGCACATATCTGTAATCCCATCAAACAGGCTGAGGCACAAGAATAGAAAGCGCATAGGACGAGAGACAGGCCTAGAGATGTGAGCTTCCTAAAGTAACCTGTGAGAGGAAGACACACAGCAGCCAAGGGCATGCTTATCTGGTTCTGTCACCTCCCTAAAGAAAGCCAGGCATAGTGGGATATGCTTTAATCTGCACTTGGGAGGCTCAGACAGGAATATCTTAGGTTCAAAGGTAGTCTGGGCTACATGGGTTCCAGGCCATTGTGAGTTATACCGAGCTGAGAGGAGAGGGAGAGAAAAGGATTAGGGAAGAGGGCAACAAGGAAGGAGAAATGAGAAGGAATCTGAGATCTAGTATTGATTTGCCGTAAACCACCTGGCCTACTTGGCTTTCTGTTGCCATAAAACGCTGTCCAAGAAAACAACTTGAGGAGGAAAGAGTTTATTTGGCTTACATGTCCTGATCACAGTCCATCTTGAAGGGAAGTCAGGGTAGGAACTTAGTGGAGGACATGAGGAATGCTGCTTATTGACTTGAGCTCCAGGGCTCACATTCAACACCCTTCTTACACCTTCCAGGACTACTTGCCCGATGGTGGTATCACCCACAGTGGGCAGGGCCCTGCCACATAAATCGTTAATCAGGAAAATAACCCCAGGACTAGAGAGGTGACTCAGCACTTAAGAACACTTGTTGCCCTTGCAGAGGACCTAGGTTTGATTCCCAGCACCTACAGTCGTCTTTAACTCTAGTTTCAGGGAGTTGAATGGGCTCTGAGGCACCAGGCATGCATGTGGTGCACATACATACATGCAGGAAAAAGAAACACGTAAAGTCAGTCGTTCTTTTGTTTGTTTGTTTCCCAGACAGTTGTTTCTTTGTGTAGCCCTGGCTCTGGTCTCAAACTTACAGAAACCTGCCTGCCTCTGCCTACCAAGTGCTGGGATTAAAGGGAAGTAAGTAGTTTTTTAAAGAACTCCACAGATTCATCTACAGACAGTGTAATGGGGCTTTCTTTTTTTTTTTTGAGACAGAGTCTCACTATATAGCTCTGGCTATCCTGGAACTCACTAATGTAGAGTGGGCTATCCTCTAACTCACAGAGCTCCACCTGCCTCTACCTCTCTAGTGCTGGGGTTCAAGTTGTGTAACACTACACCTGGGTTTTGCAAAGTTTTTTTTTTTTTTTTTTGGTTTTTCGAGACAGGGTTTCTCTGTGTAGCTTTGCGCCTTTCCTGGATCTCGCGCTGTAGCCCAGGCTGGCCTCGAACTCACAGAGATCCGCCTGGCTCTGCCTCCCGAGTGCTGGGATTAAAGGCGTGCACCACCACCGCCCGGCGGGGTTTTGCAAAGTTTTTAAACAACGATTGTGATAGCTATAGACAGAAACTATAAGATGAACTAGAGACTACTTCAAGTGTTCAGGTGAACGAAGACGAAGCTGATGAGGGCTAAGCAGAAGCAGTAGAAATGAGTAAGTAGTTGGACTCTGAATTTAAAGGTCCAGTGAACATTATTTGCAAGTGGATTAGATGCAAGGTATGAAAGGAAAAGTATAAGAATGATACCACAGGGGCTGGAGAGATGGTGTTGTGCCCAGGTCGCAAGACCCCCAAGCAAGACCACCACAGAGCCATTATCCGATGCAAGCACACAGAGGTTTTTATTAACAAAACAAGCAAGCTTGGTCCGTGTCCAACATCAGACACAGCAGTGGGTGGAGGAGAACGGCCCCAGCACTCACTTTAAGGGGTTTATACAGGAAAAGTTTACATGCAGCTTGGGATTGGAAGAGGGGGCTAGGGGTGAGGCAGTTCTTTGAAGTTACTGGCTGAACTATAGGCATGAGGTTACTGATGGCTAACAGGATTCAGGGTATCTACAGAGACATAAATTTTTACTCCCTATCTCCTGCTTTTGTTGAACCCAGGATATATACATTCAGATTTATTGTTCCAGTCCTACTCTCCTCTGAGGTCAACTTCTGGTCAGTTGAGCCCATTACTCCCCATATCTTGTTCTGCCAAGTCCAGGATACATAGATTTATTGTCCCAGCCTTAAGCTCAATTTCTGATCACTTCTAAAACTGCTGGTCAGCAAATACCTTTGGAGGAGGGGAGGGGGAAGTGTCTCTCAAGATGGCTACTGATTTTTCCCTTTCAATGGCTAAGTGGTTAAGAGCACTTGGTGTTCTTGCAGAGTTCCTGGGTTCTGTTCCCAGCACCCACATGATGGCTTAGCTGTAACTCCAGTTCCAGAGGGTTTTGATGCCCTCATCTGGCTTCTACAGGCACCTCACGCACATGATGTACATACACACATGCAGACAAAATACTCATACACATACAATTTTTTAATTTTTTTCAAGACAGGGTTTTTCTGTGTAGCCTTGGCTGTCCTGAAACTTGCTCTGCAGACCAGGGTGGCCTCCCAACTCATAAAAAAAATTTTTTTTAAATCCTTTTTTGTTGTTTTTTTCAAGACAGGGTTTCCCTGTGTAACAGCCCTGGCTATCCAGGAACTCACTTGGTAGACCAGGCTGGCCTAAATCTCATAGATCAGTTTGCCTCTGCCTCCAAGTGCTGGGATTAAAAGCATGCACCACCACACCTCAAATCTTAAAAGGAAAATGACATTACAGCCAGGAATTATACTTATAATCCAAGAGTTGGGAGGCTGAAATAGGATTACAAATTCAAGGCCAGCTTGGACTACATATAATAAGACCTTTTCTCAAGAAGAAAAAATCCAAAATAATAACATAAAGGCAAGTTGTACAACACTTTTAAATCATACATCATGGGCTGGAGAGGTGACCGGGCTGACAACTAAAAAGAATGCACAGCATTTAAATTTTCTAAAAAAATTTCCAGAAGGCCGGGCGGTGGTGTGCACAGTGGTGGCCCATGCCTTTAATCCCAGCACTCGGAGGCAGAGCCAGGCGGATCTCTGTGAGTTCAAGGCCAGCCTGGGCTATTGAGTGAGTTCTAGGAAAGGCTCCAAAGCTACACAGAGAAACCCTGTCTGGAAAAACCACACACACACACACACACACACACACACACACACACACACACACACACACAAAATTTCCAGAAAATGGGAAAATGCTTATTCTATGAGACTAGAACTATTTTGATAAAACCAGACAAAGGCAAAACTAGATTGGAAACTATAAGTCAGCATCACTCATTAACTGATACTGAAATTGTCAGAAAAATATGAATCCCGAAGTGTGAAGAATGGAGCTTCCTAGACAGTGCTGCAGAGGTCTGACTTGGAAAATGTATAGCTAATCCCTTATTCAAATCCAAGCCCTCTAACTTTCCTCATGGGACAGAGACTCCGTTTACAATCCCGTCCCTTTCTCTGCCACTCCCACAGGCAATGAGGTGTAGCTAGAGTTTTCCTGCCTGGCCCACAGTCAGGGCAAATCTCTGTCACCCACCAGTCCCACAGCCTCTCAGACCCAATCAAGTAAACACAGAGACTTATATTGCTTACAAACTGTATGGCCATGACAGGCTTCTTGCTAACTGTTCTTACAGCTTAAATTAATCCATTTTTATAAATCTACACCTTGCCACGTGGGTCGTGGCTTACTGGCATCTTCACATTCTGCTTGTCCTGGTGGCGGCTGGCAGTGTCTCTGACTCAGCCTTCCACTTCCCAGCTTTATTCTCCTCCTTTTCCCGCCTATACTTCCTGCCTATTTGAGACAGGGTTTCTCTGTGTAGCTTTGTGCCTTTTCCTGGAACTCACTTGGTAGCCCAGGCTGGCCTCGAACTCAGAGATCTGTCTGTCTCTGCCTCCCGAGTGCTGGGATTAAAGGTGTGCGCCACCACTGCCCGGCTGCTTTAAACTGCAGCATTCTAAGACTGAAACGGCTGTAATTTTACTATGTTAATGTTAAAACCTTCCTTTTTGAAAAAAA